CCCCCTCTCGCCCCCTAACCACCACACACACTCACTTCACCCCACCCTTCACCCCGCACCGCCCGCCACCCCCTCTCGACCCCGACCTGAACCTTACCTGTAACCCCCCAAACCCTGCCCCCGCAGTCCCTGGAGTGGATGTTTGCCCAGCAGGTGCACCCCAGCGACGTGGCGGCCATGATCATTGAGCCAATCCTTGGAGAGGGCGGCTTCCTCACCCCGCCACCCAGTAAGCGGGCGCCGCCGGTTGCTGAACAGGGTGGTCGATGCTCTGGGAAGGATCTAGGGTTTAGGGTCCCACCTGCACTGAACCCTGAACCCTCAACCTCGAGGCGTGCCCATGCGCGTGCTCAGCTGAAAAATCCAAGCAAATGCGTTCACGATGCACTTGCGCCCAAAAACGCAGTATTCCTGTTGGGGCTGCGGGAGCTGTGCGACAAGCACGGCATCTTGCTGATCTTCGACGAGGTGAGGGCTTACGATGATCTGACGGGTCTGACAGTGTCCACCCCTTGACTGTGCGCTGCTCTCGCACGACTGCTGATTGCTGCCCGCCCGAGCTCGTGCAGCCAGGCTGCACCCTGTGACAATTTTGTGACGGGCGCCGCGCTGCGCGCACTCTGCCCTCGATCCTTTTGATACGCAGGTCCAATCGGGCGTGGCGCGCTCCGGCGAGTGGTGGGCGCACACCCTGTTTGATAAGGGCCAGGTCCACCCCGACCTGCTGGTGTTTGCAAAGGTGAGGGGCAGGGTTGGTGAGCGTGCGTGCTGCGCTGTGTGTGTGTGTGTGTGTGAGTGTGTGTTTATGTGTTCGTGTGTTTGTGTATGTGTGCGTGCGTTTGTGTGTGTGTGTGTGTGTGTGTGCGCGCGCGTGCGTTTGTGTGTGTGTGTGTGTGTGTGTGTGTGTGTGTGTGTGTGTGTGTGTGTGTGTTGGCTTTTACGGGGCACTGCAGGTCCTTGGTGATTGTGCATACATTGGGGGCTCCAAACCTTGAGGGCATAAAACCACCCTGACGCGCGCCGCTCACCGTACGTCTCCGGCGGCCGTGCACGCACCCCTGCCCGCGCATCACCCTACTCTGCAT